TGCCCAAACCCCCTCCGCCCCCGCCCTCAGCGCTTTGCCCACTTTCTTCTCCCCTTCCCTCATAGAATGCGAACCCGGCCGCGCCTCCTAGAATTAGAAGCCAAGGAAGTATGTCGATGTGGAGCCCTGTTTTCCCCTTTCGACCAAATCCTTGAACACTGCCAGAGACTAATTCATGCATTTTTGTTCGGGCATTGAAGAGCTGTTGCTGGATCTTGGTTGCAACTTAGTTCTCGAATAAACAGAATTGCACATCACGGGCAGTACTACTGCCCGGGTACAACAGATGCTGCTCAGAACACAGCACGATGCCAGGACGTCCATCTCGATTTTCTGAAGTTGCTTAGAGCGGGAACGCAATACGCGGATCTGAGAAAGCTTGCAAAGTCCACTGAACGTGTGGAAGGGCGCCCGAAAGAACGGTGGTAGAGCAGATTGGGGGCTTGTTCAGTTTGTCGAGCAGGCAGCAAATCCGAGCAACGTGCAACGAGGCTTCCTGGAGCGTGGAAAACACATCGACAGTGGGCCGGCTGCCAATCCGCTTATTAGATGACTGGCAAGCAGCCGGCCAGAATCTAAGGCATCTGAAGCCGGGAAGGCCGGCAAACAAACAGCGATGCTGGGTAACTGCGGCACCGTCTTGCCTTGTGCTCACTGTTTACATAACAACAAGCCCATGGCATGGACTCTGGAGAAAAACCTGTGCAACAACTGAAGATGCAATGTCCAACTTCTACAGTCAACGCCCACAGCTGTTACCGCAAAAAGCTTCTCTGAGGATCTCTTAGGTCGCTGTGAATCGCATGAAGATGCACAAGCTGCAGCCGCGGCACCCGAGGGCGAGGGCCACGCTGAACCTTCCAAAGAACCATGCCGCATCATGGAACGCACATTACCCTCACCCCCAGGTGGTGTTACTTACAGCGAACACCTTTTAAGCCCAAAAGTGTCGCTGTTCGCTGCCTGCTTGGAACATGAGGATCGAAATTGAATGCTGCTTGGAATATCGGCCCAAGCTCGCAAATCGCAGTGAAGCAGCGTCAACTTGGTGCATGCAAGAGACATCATCATCGACTTTGCCGTCTCCTCATCCTGATCACCTTGTACATGCAATGCATTCGTGTTCATGCAGCTAAGGAGACGGGATGCTTTGGGCAAGATCGGGCTGTCTTAGAGACACTTCCAAACAGTACTGAAGCTGCAACCGATCTGTAAATAGCATGGAGTGACGAGTCCATCGACACACCACGCGCCTGAGGACAATTTACTCCAGTCAAGGTTCACCGAACACTCGCACGCATGCACTCGTCTTACTTTCGGCGCGGCGAATGTACCGGGTGTGGATAGTCGTTTGCGTGGTGCAAGCATGGACCAAGAAGATTCGGGTCTCGCTCTCGTTATGCAAGAGAAATGCAGAAGAGCAACTTAAACGAACATCTTGCCAGATTCGAGTGGCGGAGTAGCTCTTGTCTGTGTATGCGAACACAGAGCCACAGCGACTGTGGAAGCACAAAGATGGTCGCAGCCACGCCATGGCACCTGAAATGTGATGGGGAAAACGCACATGCCGGCAAGTCAGCTACAGTCGCATTTGAGACATGACATCAGCAACTTTGACATTGATTGTATCACACCGTGCAGCTGTGCACCCGAATGTCACGCCCAAAAGGAGTGCAAGAGCGTGGGCTCCCATCAGCAGGCCATAGTAGTAAACCAGCGACGCCTGTCAGGGGCAACGAGGCTTCACCCTGCAGCTCACAAAACATTGCTCTTGCTTCGTATCCTGAGTCAATGGAACCGAGCCACGGAATGCCTCGGCCAGATGTCCTAAATGGTGCAATGCCTCAGAACCGCTACCAAGGTAATCTGAATGTGCTACAACTCTGCAAGGACGGAGAATTTCTTGGGCTCCCTTTTTGAGAGCAATCGGATTACCTGGGCTGCAAATGCCGAGTGTGCACAACCAACATTGTGAGATACGATCGCCACATGACGGTTTTGAAGAATCTCACTGCATTTACACAGATGTTGAAGCGCTCCACCAGATGCCATGCAAAAAGCAAGAAGCGGGAAACTGCATTTGAGATAAAGAGCAAGAGCGCGGTGGTTGAATGGGGCAACCCCGAGTTAAACCCAGAATGGTCGGATGACAGGTCTTAACAGGATGGAGACGAATCTTGAAGTCAGTCTCGTCATGCGGGGCTACACACACATCTAGCATATGCTCACGTGACCCGTTTTGAAAGCTTGCATGTGCCGTTCGTTAAAGCAAGCTTGCCCGGCCAAAATGCGCCGTCCACAGAATCCAGCTGCAGCCGCGTACCACAGGTTAAGGTAGAAGCCCCAGAAATTCAGAAACGGAAAACAAATCCCTGACTACGTCGGTGCAACAAAGCAAAACCAAGCCTCCGTGCCTTGGGGCCCAGCAGTATGGCCACAGTTCTCGAGCCTTGCGAGACTATAAACTTCCACAGGCTGCAAGACGCAAAGAAGGGCATCCCATCTCTGCGCAACTGATTCGATCTGTCCGGCGGTGTGGCAGGCGAAGCTGCTTTGCAGGTTCGGCATAATCAAACGGGCATGTCGCCAATGCCATCAGAACTGGAAGGCAAAGCGTCAGCAACAGCACTGCGCAGTACGCACTGCAGCGCATCGCGCGGAAAAGCCGACAGAGCCCAAGGCCCAAGGCCCGTCTGCGGCCTGTCTGCCTCTGACATTAGGCAAGACAGCATGATGAGTAACTCTGAATTAGGTCTAAGGATGTTCTGCCATTTCAGAGGCACAAAGAGTGCAACTGCTGCAAGGTAAGCAGTACTGCCAGCTAGGGAAAGTGACTGGGGTTGCCCATGCACTACTTCTGCCAGCCGGTTCTGCAAACGGTGGAAAAAGCAGCACAGCACAGGTGCTGCTAATGAGCGTTGCCTCTCGCTTATTTCATTATCAAAGCATACTCACGGAGACGTCACCAGGCCTGCTTAGGCCTCAGAGAAGAAATTCTGATAAAGGCAGACGGACAGGCTCAACCGTTGTGGTTCAACATAACCTTTTGGAACAGCGCTGCAGGCAAGCATCCCGGACAAGGTCCTGTACCAGGCTGTTGGGGCCAGTCCTCCGATGGGGGCGGAAATCCCTTCCCATGACGTCAAGTGATAGGACATGAACGATAGCCCACTTCAAGAACGTCGCTGTACACTCAAAAGCTGCCTTTTTGCATTTGGAAAGTGGGTCCTCCACGAATCCCCCGGTACGGGTTGCGCCGCTTATCGTCAATGTAGTCACGCCAATTGGAAAGCGATCTAGAACCATTCCTCGAGTGCGATGCTCTTTGGACACAGGGCTGCTCGAATGCAACAAGGATCCACGGCTTGAGCACCTGCCTGGACTCGGGTGCCCTACTTCACACAAGTGATGGGAGGCAGTGCAGGAGCAAAGTATCCCTTGCTGAGAGATGCACATGCGATTTCTTCAGTGCCGTTTGGGTGGCAGCAACATGAGTCAGGCTTGGCCTGGGTGGCGAGACGGCCGGACTGGTGCGGAATGCCCCGGTTAAGACAGAGCTACCTAACTAAGCATCAGCATGTTCTTCATCACCCAACGTTAAGGAAGTGACACTAATGTCATGTCAGGGCCCAGTTTCCCTGACGAACCGCCAAAGAAGACGGGAGCGGCTTAATGGCAATATACCTGCTGATTAGCCGTCAACTAACACATAGGATCATGGGCCTCAAATGCCTTCTTCTGATCCTCTCCCACCCCTCGTTTGCCCATGGGATGCACCACTTCCGTTTGCTAGCGTGGCATCAAGTACCCCACTACGCACCCGGAAGACTTGCGCAAGCCAAGCAGCAAGTTCTCGCCTGATGGCACCTCGGCAGAGCGCTCTGCTCCGATCTGGCCCTTCTCTTTCGCTGAGTCTCTGGCGGGTGGTCGCGGGTGCAGGGCACTTGGACGAATCAGCGCCAAGGTCTCTTCTCGGCTGGGCCTGGCTGCCAGGCTCCCGCCATGCACAACGACTGCTGTGCGAGAAACCAGGGGCCCTGCAAGCGCCGGAGATCCGGGCAGCTAGCCTTGAATATTGGCATCTGCGAAGATGTGACCAGTAATGACTAGGAGATACTAGGAGCTTACCGCATACCGCTGGAACCTGAGACGTTTCAATGCTTAGTTGCGGCAGTCCTTTTGCCGTTTAGCTCCTTGTTCGCAAACCGTCTGTGCAGCCGCGTCGCTGCAGATGGACTTCGTGGCTCCGAGGCGGTGTTACTGCCGACTGAGCTGCTCGAAAATTTGGACCTTGGCATTCGTACTTGGAGGGATCAGCATCTCCTTCAGCTGCCAGCTAAGCTCCTGCAGACTGCCAGCCGTCAGCAGATGTTCTGAGGTCACCGCTTGAAGAGGCGCTTCGGCTTGGGCACCTGTCGACGCAAACATTTCCCAACGGCTATTGTCTTTGCGATAATATTGACATTTGCAACTGGAAGCGTGTGAGGCACGCAAAGACCCGAACGGCTTGAAACGAAGATCTCGAACTGTCTTCCAATGTCGGAAAGCCCAGCTTACGGCCATTTCGAGTCAATGCTTAACCACACCCACCTTCGTCTCCAGCTGGCCAGGATCACTCTTGGGAGTATCATCCCATCCAAGACCTTGCCGTGTCTTGAGTTGCGGTCACTGTGCCAGCATCCGCTAGGCTGTGCGAAACTGAAAACGACAAGAAAGGACTCTCTGAGTGCACGTGTGTGGCTTTGGAGCCTTGCTTGAAATTCCTCAGCCTCTGCCTCGACTGACAAAAATATGATGCTGGGAGGCCGAAACCCGCAGAGTGACGCACACATACGCACACGGCTGGCAAATACCGTCTGCAGAGTCCTAACCCCTAACGGCTCCGGAGCTAGAGGCCAGACAGCGATTGACGATTTTCCTCGCCTGAGCCTACTACTACGCGCCCTTCTAGAAAACCGAGTCTGGCTTGCGGTTTCAGGCTTGAAGCCACTTGCAGCAGCTCGCTTTCGCTTGTCTTCGGAGGAGACCTGGTATTTTGCCGCAGCTATTCGCGTTCCACGGTTTACTACCTATCACGAGCCTTGGCCTGGAGTGGCTCAAAAGCTGCATGAAAATGGCAGATGTTACAATCATTCGTTCATCATCCATCCCGGTGTATCTTAGGTGCATCTGCCATCCTGGCTAAAGACGTCTCGAATTCAAACTTCAGATCCGACACGACTACATTTTGAATCGACAGCCACATACATCATAGCAGGAAGCTAGAGCAGAGGTTCATTTCGATCAACTTCGTTTGAGGTTTCACGGCTCGACACTCAAGAATTCTGTTCACGGTACTGTCACATAAGACTTTTACACGTGGTTACCAAACCAGTGTAGCAACACTATGAGGTTCTACGCCAGGAACCAAAAGGTATTGGTCAGTGTGATCGCGAGACACTCGGCCTCTTCCTCTCTTGCCAAAACTTCAGCAGTGCCACACTATGATGCTCTCCTAGGAGGTCTTGTTTTCGGCTAGCACCTCCTCCCCCCCAGTCCCATGCGCTTCCGTGCAGTGACTTTTTGTGTTGTGAGTCCCGCTTCTAGATCCCAGAATCCTTCTTGCGCGACAGTGGCTCACCCATTTTGGGGTCGGACTGTGTTCCCCCTCCGTGCCGGAACTTCCGAGTGCCCCAAGTAGGAGCCTCATCCACTCGCAGGACCGCACGGGAGCATATTCCCACTCGCGCCTTTCATCCTGCCTCCAGTTTCATGGTCCCTTGGTCGTGGTGCTTGGTGGCGGTCTCCCTCGTCACGGTGCTCCTGGGCGTCGTTGTTGCATGGTCGTGGTCGTCGCAGTCATGCTGCTAGTCCCTGATGTTCATCCTGGCGGCCCTGGTGGTCCTGGCCGTTTTCCTTGCGGTGGCCGTCGTATTTGCCGTCGTGGTGGTCGCATTCGTCGTGATCGTCGTGGTCGACCCGGTATCTCCGGGCCGTGATGTCCCACACAGCGTGGTTCCCACTATGGGCCTCTGTAGAGGAGACAAAGTTGGCCAGCATTCCTGCGCCATGTCCTGCACACAACGTTCACCGGCATGCTTCTCCCGCTGTGGCATGGTGCCTATTTTGCGCTTCGTCCTTCTGCTTTACAGAGGGTCTGTGCGGCCGTGTCTCACAAAAAGCCAGATTACAGTACATGGCAATACTTGGGAAAAAAGATTGCCCAGTCCTTGTGAATCGCGCCAGTACTTGAGGGAAGCATTTTGGCTGTGCTCCGGAATCTTCCTGAATCTCCCCAGGACGTGGGGAAAGCATGTTGGCAGTGCTCTCGAATCCCGCCAGCAGTTTGGGGGAAGCCTTGCTGCCGTCCACCGGAATGTGGGGGACCGCACTTGGGCTGTGTCCTGAGGGTCTGGGGGTGGTCTCCTCGTGGTCTCCCAGTCGTAGTCGTCCTGAGCGTTTGGTGGTCCGCGCCATGGTCGTCGCGTGGTTTGGATTTTTCTCTGTAGGGAAATGCGACACGACTCACATTGATCGAGAGAGAGGAGCTGTGAGCAGAGACGCGCAAAGTCGCATCCCGGGCCGAGTCCAGGCTTGCCTGAGCCTGAGCTTAGTCCGGTACGGCATTCAAACTTCGTGGATCGTGGGGCTGTGTGCACAAACCTGCACGGGTAGGTAAAAGTTCACTGGTTCTGTGCAACAGAAGATGCTTGCAAGACAAGTTGACAGCATTCCATGTCCTCGCAGTGCCGACGTCGGCTGAGTAGATGTAGCTCGACGGATCCATGCGCATGGGATGCATGTTCGACAGGCTTTGTTAAGTTTGCCTGTGGAGGCTGTTGCATGATATAGTGTGAAGATGTGTCTAAGTCTAAGCGTTGTCTGTTCCTGCAATGCACTGAATGATCCCAAGCGGCCTCAGCTCCAACACCCGTGAACAACTTCCAAACATGCCTCTTCAAGCCGTCTCAACATTCCACCTCCTCGTCTGTCCACTTCCATATCTCTGTAGTTGTTTGCATGCAAGATGCCGACGACCTGAGAAGCAGCATGAGGCGAAGGGCTTACACCACTGCAAAGCCGAGGCTTGCGCATACAAAGATGCCTCACCCAGGTTGACTGCGACATGCATAATGCATCAAGGGGGTCATGATGAGACATGTGAGATCTGGGCCGGAACGGTCATTAGCAGCGCTGGCCACCTGAAACGACAACTGCCAAGCTGACAAGTGGTGACAAGTGTGACCTCCGTGTTCGCCCTACCAAAAGACAGGTATAATTGCCAGGTGGCTACAGTTGCTACCTAGAAGGGCTGACAGAGTGGTGGCCTGCTTCAATGCTTTAGAGGAATACTTGATAGCAGGCTCCAAAGAAAGTGAACAAAAAGGACCTCCAAGTAGATCAGCAGTCTCTGCCAAAAGCATTTCCCCACACAAGAAGAATGGTGCACTCAGACAACAAATATGTGCGGCAGGGCGAGCCAACTGCGACCGGCCATGAGAATCCCATGTCACAAAAGCGATCGGGTCGACATCGCGGAGTCGTTGATTAACGGCTGGCAAACTTCCAGGAAGTGTTTCCTGCACTGCTTGGACTGCAGTCTGGTCATAAAGATGACCAGAACACCGATACTCAACTTTTGGAACTTCCGCGCGCACTCGGCTTGGATGCAAGGTGGCCATCGGTAACACCGCTCAACGCAGCGGCACATGTTCGGGCATGAAACAGTCTGTGGCAGGACTGATGCGCAACAGGCGTCACACCTCAGCAAAAAAACAATTGCTGATGCAAATCATGCACATGGCCTTCCGGGTTCTGGAAACATGTCTAAGTCAACATCCAGGCTCAGCATCCCCCAAAATGGCAACAAACACTCTCTGATGTCGGTAGAGAAATTTGCCAGGGGAGCACACGATGCGAAAAAGAAAAAATCCAAAAATGCAAGAGGAACGGCAGCATCTAGTAGTCTAGCATAGCCAAGTAGTCACCGACGTTGTATGACTCTTCCTTTTCCGCGGCAGGCGAAATACTGCAACTGATCGCTGCAGTGCTGCTGCTTGCTATGCGATAAGTTGGGTGCACCTGTCACCAAGCATCGAGTTGAACATGCTGGCTAGACTTGGCCTCCCGACACAACTCTGCCCACCAGAACGACGGAGCAGTAGGAAACAACTCCCGGCCCAAAGCAAACAAATACCTCAGGTGCTTAAGCTCACCGTTACATAGTCGTCGTCATGCTAGAACAATCAAGAACAAGACAACAAATGTGCTTGCCGGCGACAGTCAGATCACCCAAGCCCATGTATTTGAGAGGGGCAGGACCAGCGGTGTAGCCAATGGCCTGAGTTCGATGCCGACATCAACTGGGACAGCAATGCCAAGTGCAAAAGACACCACAAGGCCCGGACTAGCAAAGTGCCAATGGTGGCCCAGGCCAGTACTGGCGACTGCAAGACGCGCTGCAAAGACCCACTAGACCGCACTCGACTGCCCTGCAAATGCCCTTCACCATTCAGACTTGCCAGAAGAATCGCTGCGACGAGGCCAGGGTATTTCTCGAACTAACAGCACAACAGGCAGCTGTGCAAACTAAACCTTTCAAGGAATAATCAAACCGCTCTGTACAAGCCAAGAAGAAAGCAAAACCACACTGACATGTCACAAGACTGTCTACCCATGTCTACCCAAACATGCCACCCGTGACCGCTGCAAATGACACCACGCTAACGTCTGGTGTCCTGTGTAGTTGAAGCCAGTGGCCAAAACTGACCAGGAAAAAAAGGACAGCCTGCCAATGCCATACACATGATGAACCCGCTTTGCATTCATCACAAGCGCAACAACATGCAGAAGCATGGCCACGAAAGCAATGTTGTGGTGGCCAGCACCTGCGCAAAGCTTCGCAATAGGGCCTAGTAACATGCGTCATCTAAACCATGAAACACGAGCTCCGTTCAAGCTGGCCGTTCCTGGTGGTCTCACATTGGTTTCCCAATATTCTCTTGGCAGTCTCCTGTTGGTGGCGTTTCCTTGGGTCGTGGTGGTAGTCCGGGTCATCGTTGGTGGTCGTCGTGGTCGTGGCAGTTGTTCTGTTCATGGTGGTCGCGCTTGTCTTGGTCGAGGTGGTCGTCGTGGTTGTCGTGGTCGTCGCGGTCGTCGCAGTCGTCATGGTCCCTGTTGTCCTCTTTTTGGGGATGCAAACTTGCACTAATTGCTGGTATCACTGCAGTTGTCACAACCACCACCATCACCGCTACTGCGACGGGTCCTGCTGCCGCCGCCACCGCTGCTGCTGCTATTACTATTATTATTATTACTACTACTACTACTACTCCTACTTTTACTACTGCTGCTACTACTACTACTACTACTACTACCACTGCTACTACTACTACTACCACCACCACCACCACCACCACCACCACCACCAGCACGACACTACTACCACCACTACCACTACCACTACCACTACCACTACCACTACCACTACTACTACTACTACTACTACTACTACTTCCACTTCTACTACTACTACTACTACTACTACTACTACTAGTACTACTACGACTACTACTAGTACTACTACTATTTCTATATCTACTACTACTACTACTACTACTACTACTACTACGACTACTACTATTACTACTACGACTACGACTACTACTACTACTACTACTACGACAACGACGACGGCCACTACTACTACTACTACT